GCATCCGATTGACTGCAGGCATTTACTGCCAGTGACCTCAAGAAGCAATTTATATTCAGCAACCGAGATAAAAGATGAGTAAGTACAGCAGTGCAGATGTTTGGTGATTTAAAGCACATACAAATTGAAGCAAAGCTGTCTGCTCCTGACAAGTTACTAGCCTAACTCTTGGCCAGTATTTAAGTTGCATAATGGGAGATTAAAGCTGGAAAGGACCAGCGAGTCATTCTGATTGCAGCCTCCTTCCGTAGCAAATTTTTTGTCTCCGTTGATATCTTGTTAGTTTTTTTTTATGAACACATCAAGATTCTTTATTCTCTCCCTTCTATATCCTGGATTTCTTGGCAAAATGTGAGTTCTTCCAGGTCTTACTTTTTACACCTATTTCTTTCATTTTCCTACCATCACCTGCAGCAACAAGCACTCCTCCCACTGACTCCTACCGACCCTTACCAGCCGCATAAACCAGGGCTGTCTTCATATTTACATATGGTTTCAGTCCCTTCATTCTAACTGGACATTGTTAGCTGTTTAAGACTGATGAAGCCTAGAAACACTTAGAGAAATCCATGAGTGATTCTTTCTGGGCTCCCCTAAGATGCTTCATAATAATCTTTTTGTCCTATAAGAAATTCCACTGGGCTATGCACATGCCCATATCTGAACTCTATGATCTACTCTAGGTGATCCTGCTCTAGCAGGGGGGTTGGACTAGATGATCTCTAGAGGTCCCTTCCAACCCCTACCACTCTGTGAATCTGTGAAAATGCCATTAGTCTACAGCTAATAACTTATTTATCCTCTGCCCTAACCCTCGTATTTTTTCTGCTCTAACACTATTGATCTTTGGTGAAGCACTGGAACAGGCTGGTGAGGCACTGGCACAGGTTGCCCAGAAAAGCTGTGGATGCCCCATCCCTGGAAGTGTCCAAGGCCAGGCTGGATGAGGCTTGGAGCAACCTGGTCTAGTGGAAGGTGTCCCTGCCCATGGCAGGGGGTGGGACTGGATGGTCTTTACGGTGCCTTCCAACCCAAACCATCCTGTGATTTCATGATTCTACAATCTCTCTATCCAGGGGCTCTCTCAGCACTGAGGTCATTTAAAAAAAACAAGCGCAGGACTTATCCTTGTTTTGCAGATGAAGGTTTTGAGGGAGACAGGAATGTGGCAGAATCAGAACAGGAGTTACACACTGAGATGTGGAAGAAAGCACTCTTCACACTCTGAGGTGAAAAAACCTCACTCAATCCTTTCCTTATTTTCAGACCCTTACAAGAAAAAAAAAGAATTGTTCATTGTGAGTGAATATTCCATTCAATAGTGAAACAATTTTTAGATGTTTCTGCTCATAACGGCAAGTGCTTTTCACGACCAGCGATGGGGTTGCGCCGTACTTAATATGGCTTTTTGCATGTTCACTTCTCTTTAATTCAGGAAAACTCTTGAGAAGAAGAAACATCAGTGCTGTTGAGTGGTAAACAAAAGCAAGTTGCACCTCTAGGGCTCCGAAAAAGAAGGTAAACAAAAGCCAGCTACCTGGATGAAAAGGGAACAAATGTTTTGGAGAGAGAACATTCCTATAAACAGTCATTATAACATAACTCACGGACTGCAGAGTTCAAGAGCAGCTATAAATTTAGCTTAGCGTGTAGATTGAAATAGCAACTGCGCTTGTAGGACCTACGTTTGACCGCAATCGCAAGTGATTCAGTCACCGCCTGTTTCACGCGCTCCATCAGCATGCAGAACGACGGCGGCATTACAAACAGCATCTCATGCTTCATTCTGCTTAGCAATTTACAGGTATCTCAAGTTTTTCGGTTCCTCCCAAAGCCTGTCTTCACTCACGTCTTTATATTTGCTGGAAATTCTGCATCTCGCAGCACACTAATACATGACAGAGATTTGTGGCCCACTGTACCTTTGCCTGATATAGTTACCTGAGCACAGATAAATGTGTATCCAAGCTGTCCATCTTTTGCATAATAGATGGATGGGTTAAAGAACTCCAGGAGAAGACCCAGGCTCAGTTCTCTTCTCAGCCTGTGGGGAGTCAGACCCATATTTCCATGTCAGCAGAGTTACCCCAGTTATTATCTAGGCCAGTTTTTTCTTCATTTCTTGTCTAGACTTTTAAGAAGCAGTGTTAACTGCTTTTAGCATGGGTGCTGCTACAGTCCAAAGAAAAGGGGATGGGGGCAAAGAGGATGAGTAAGCTTTAGATTAAGCTATTTACAGTGCTTCTGGGGACTCCTCTTAATGTGCCTTTCACCAGAAACTGCAGTAACGATTCAGCTCTTCCAGGGAATATTTTTATTTTCCTGAAACTGAATGGAGCAGTACTGATCCAGAGCTCTAAAGGGTGTAGATCAGACTTCTTCCCCCTTTCAAATAAGATTTAAGCCCACTGTTTTTGCTCTTGGATAAACTCAGTCTGCCAGGGAACAATTTACTACAGATAAGTATTGTTTTAGTCCTGACATACAAGAACTCCTGTTCCAGATCATTTAAAATCTACTCCCCAGGGTGTGGGCTGAAAGGAAATACTGCCAGCAGCACCCGAAAGGTCTGTTAGCATAAATCCAGCAAAAGGCATATCTTGTTTCAAGGCATAGGTTTGATGAAAGAGGGTTCATGTATGGTGTTTCACAGATCATACTCCTACTACCTGCATAGATCATCACTGTGAATGCCCAGCTGACTGGCAAACTGATGTCATAAATAAGATTCACATAGGAGCTGCTTTGCTTTGTCAGTGGCATGCAGCAAACCCCGCAACAGATTACTCCTGCTTTATAATTCAGTACAGGGATGGGAGAAAGAAAAGAAAATAAAAGGTCCTTCCTAATGCAACTAAAACTAGAAGAATATGGTGACTCAAGCTGGAATTTGGCCACAAAATCCTGTTTACAATCGTCAAAATTCACAAAGCTTGCCAGGTTTAATGGTTCTGAGGGCTTCAAGCCCAGTCAGCACTTCCTAACAACGTGGTTCCATGTAGATCATGCTGGTTTAGCACCAAGTCAGACAGGGGCAGTGGTTTCTAACAGGCTGCCAGTAGCTGCAGAATGTGCATTTTTAGTGTCAGCATGCTGATTTGTGTTGTTCATGCAGTTACAGCTTGGGACAGTAGAAATACAGTTATCTCACTGTTTTTTACAATGTTAACAAAACACTTCTTTATGCTTGTTCACAGGTCAGCTTAATGCAGCAACAAACTAGTTACTTTGGGAGACAAGACCAAGAGCAATACTGAGCTTTGCAGCCCTGTGCTAAGAACTTTTGGAAGCGCTAAAATTCTAAATGCAAAACTTGGTTATTGCATTTTTCCCTTCTATCTCATTAGAGATAATGGGAAATGTTCCAGAGGGTCTCTCATGTACACGTAGCAATCTGGTTAGGCAAAGGCAGCTAAGACACTTCTAGACATAATTAGCTGGGCATGAACCACTTTGAATGTGGCACAAATGGTGTTTAGAGCTAACGTGCAGCTAGTGGATGATGATCTTCATTTTAGCAGAGACCGGGTGTGTAGGAAAGAGCTCGACCGTTGTCACCACCTCCGTTTTCCCACTGCCTTACCTCCGACAACCTGACACTGAAGTCAAGCGAGTAAAACGCTAGCTTAGTGACCTGAGCATCTCACAGTGATGCAGAAAAAACAAAGGCTCAGTGTACTGGGATAGGAAAAGTGAGCCTCTGTTTTTGTAATGAAAAATTCTAGGCGTAACCTGATGGGAATGTTGTCTTTTCAGAGAGAATCCTTCCTACCCAGAGAGCATCCCATGCACTCCAGGCACTGCTGAAGGGAGACGTGCCCAAAAGAAGGCCATGTCCAGGCAGAAGAGGCTCAAATATTTAGAAGATATCTGGGGGATTCTGCCCCCAGATCTGTCTCCACCACAGAAAGTTTCAGCAGCATCCTCCAGACAAATACAACATGGTAAGAGAAAGAAAAGGACTAGTCATCTTGGATGCCTTTGGAATGTAAAAGTAAAGGTTTAAGAGCATCCAAAGGAAAGTTCCCCAACAGCCACAATCTTCTCAGTTTGTAAGAACACCATTCTCTCTGCTATGGCTTCCTCGGTTGTTCCCTGTGCCAGTCACATCATTCAAACACGGCTTCCCTGAATGCAGAACAGAGCAGTGGCTTCCTCACCGGGTTCAGAAAAAAACACAAGGCAGCTTCAGATGGTGACAGAAATCCTTTGTTGAACCCAAAGAAACAGGATCCCTTTCTCGTTTCCAGTTTGCACCATCCTTTACAGCTATACTGAGTGTGTGCTTGCGGGGAGGCTTCTTCTCTGCGGATCCAACCAAGCTTCTTGGATGCTCTGCACAGATGACATGGCAAGACATGGAAAACACGCCCTCAGGGCCATCTGCTGCACTGCAGCTCTGTGGCATCTTTCACCACATCTCTTCTCCAGGTACCTTTCAAACCTTGATTACTGGACCCTCACATCCCCTTGCAATATAGCTTAACGATCGCTCCCATTTTCCAACTGGAAAATTGAGGAAGGACGGAAGTTAAGTGATTTTCCCCACAATTGTACAGCAGGTCAGAGGTGGAGGCAGAGACAGAACCAATCCTTAATTCAGCCGCTAGACAATATTCCTTACATCTAGAATATGGACATATTCTGAAAGGTCGCATTGGTAAATACATCAAAGGAAAATCATCTCCCTGTTAGTGACTCTCAATCCAGATAAGCATGATTCTGAATTAGGCTGTAAGTGTGTTTTAAAGGGAAACACTTAACCTGTGTTATCTCTATGCTGGCACCATACTAAACAGCCATTCCTACTTGTACCGAATTAGGCGAATAATCTTATTATTCATGAAATCTGAAGTATGTGGATGAGAAGAATCTATGCAGAAACCATCACTCATGGCTATTTTTAGCACTTCTTCCACAAACACCTGGAAAGTATTGATTTGCTTATTATCTGGCACCACCCAGAGTCTCTTTAAGTTCTGCCTGGTGTACTCCTCTTCGGGAAGGCCTTCCACACTTGCAACCCAATCCAAGGTCAAATGGTTGGGGTCCTGCAGGTAGCTGGATATTGAAGACAGGTTTCCATTGAAGCAATAGTAAAGTTTGGAGCCGAGAAGCTTCAGGAACAGACACGAGGTGGAGAAAATATGAGCACTGAACACTTCCATGTTGGAGGAAGACAAGCTGTAGATCTGGGGTGCTTCTCGGACGGTGAAGTGAACAGTCTGGGTCTTCTGATCGAGGGAGATATTGAGCATGGCATTCTTCTCCGCTTTAGACAGCTCCACTTCCTTCTCCTGCAAGGCCTCAATCAGTGGCTGAATTTGATAAAAATCTACCTCCCGTCGAAGTAAGCCCATTTCCTGAAAGTCTTCAGGGAGGTCCAAGTGAGAAGTTCGTAAGAAGTTCAGGATGTAGCGGAAGATTTTGCCATCTCTGTCAATAAAGCAGTGGCCTTGGCTGTCCTTCTTGGTTGGAATCTTCCCACTAAACATGGCCCCCAGCATGGAGTCTGGAAAGCTGGTCAGGGTGGACAGAGAGGTGGTGTAGAGTTTTCCTCCAACGTTGAGCGTGATGGGTTCTGACATGATGGAAAAGTCACGATGGGACTTTTTCTGGGACTAATTCTAAAAAAAAAAAAAAAAAACCAACACCACACATTTAGTTGCATTTACCTGTTTGAAAGTTTAAACTACAGAAATGATCATAAATATACAAGGATAACTACATGGCAAGAATTCATCATAGAAATTAGAAGCAGGGACTTAGTTTTGGAGGTTGTATCTTGAGAACAAGTGAAAGGATGTTTTTTCTCCCAACAGGGTTGAACAGGACTTTGTTTAGTTCAGCTTAGTGCCAGAAATCACGAGTCTTCCAAAACTCTACAATCACGCTAAAAGTGAAATCTCTCATGGATACCTACAGCAGAATGACTCAAGAGTTGTGTCCTGGGCTCATCTGATCCCACCTCCCTCACGAACACAGAATTCAGAGGGGGGAAAAAACGGACAGGACAAGAACTGGACACATCCCGACATCTTCCGTGGCATCTGAAGATATAATTAAAGCAACAAAGCTGTTGCAGCAGAATCCCCTGACACACAGTTGAGTGCAGTCAGCTTAGCAGGGAGCCAGCGAGCAGCGCAGCTGTAAGCACGCAACTGTCTGCAGTTCCATTCGGTAAAAAAATAACACCAGGCTTTCTCCTTCCAACGTGCTTTACCTTAGAAAACATTTCCTAATTAATTGGGGCCATATCCCAACTGAATTGACGTAGTTTCCATGCGGCTCCTCTGCAATCAGCTGAGACGAACGGAGGATGCGATGTTATGGTGCAGTTGAGCATCACTGCCTCTGGAAGGGACATCCCTCCCTTTGCTCTCCACCATATCTTCCTCCTCCCTTACACCAGCTCTGGCACTCATCTGACCACACAGTGAGCCAGTTTAGGGAGAAAAAACCCATAATGGTCTATTCAGAATATGTTTCTGCTCCATCTTGGAACCAGAAGAATGCCAGGGGTGGTACAAGCGAAGAGGAAGGAGCTATGTAACCCTTTCCATTGCAGTCAGCTCAGCTGCCTTGAAATGGTTGGGCCTCATTCCTGCCAGCTCCTGTTTTTCCCTGTTTGCTGAATCCAAATCAATCAACAGTTCATGCCCAGTTTTATCATTGACTTAATCAGGAGGAAACCCACCACTTGTGGAGGTAGGAGGTAGCTCTTGCTGTAGGAAATATGGTCATTCAACAGAAAGCTGCCAAACAGCTCCCTTAAAATTAGACTTAAGTGCAGGCATTTTCCAAACCAGCCATGGAACAATCATAGGCACTACAGTATTATTGGCTCCGGTGTCACAGCAAATCACAGATAGGAAGAACATTATCTTGTGCTGGAATATAATTTTTTTTTATGGCTGCTAAAACCCCCTAATAGTGTTAATGACACCCCAAACCAGATATGCCTCTAGACAGCAAGAACATTGTGCTATGAGAAACTTACCCAACTTAGGGCAGCTAATGAACAGGTCGAAGGAGAATCTGTATTTCACTTCTAGTTTAAGATAAACATTCCACTCTGCTCTTTAGCCTGCTTTAGCCCTCAGCACACAGCGCAAATCTCGCTGCACATTAATTAATGGAAAGAAGCAGATCTCTAAATCCACTGATGCTTGTATCCCTTAGCACTATCATAGAATCATAGAATCACAGAATGGTGTGGGTTGGAAGGGACCTTAAAGATCATCTAGTTCCAACCCCCCTGCCATGGGCAGGGACACCTGGCACTAGACCAGGTTGCTCAAAGCCACATCCAGCCTGGCCTTGAAGACATCCAGGGATGGGGCATCCACAACATCTCTGGGCAACCTGTTCCAGTGCCTCACCACCCTCTCTGTGAAGAATTTCTTCCTGACATCTAATCTAAACCTCCCTGATTTCAATTTATATCCATTACCCCTTGTCCTATCACTACAGGCCCTTGTAAAAAGTCCTCTCCCAGTACCCTTGTAGGCCCCCTTCAGATACTGGAAAGCTGCACTGAGGTCTCCTCGGAGCCTCCTCTTCTCCAGGCTGAACAAGCCCAGTTCTCGCAGCCTTTCGTCATAGGAGAGGTGCTCCAGCTCTCTGATCATCTTCGTGCCCCTCCTCTGGACTCGCTCCAAGTGGTCAATATCCTAAACAGACAAATAAAGACGCATGCGTCGACCAACACAACACCCCATCTCTGCCCATAAAGACCATCCTTGTGACTAACCTCAGCCTAATATACCCTAGAAAAAACTGTTTGTTCCAGTGCTAAACTCCCCTTAGCACTGTAGTCTCAGTGTACTTCCCACTCTTGAAGACTTCTACCCAATTTAGAGTCAAGAGCTGTTTAAAACTGATCATATTATATTGAGGCTTCAACTGGTCTAATTCTGTAGCATGACTGGCTGCCATGTATTTTTTCCCCTAAGGGCTTGCAATATGTCTGTAAAGGCATTGCTATAAGCACCATCTGGCATTCACAAAACCAGCATAAAAAGGAATTTACTTCTTTTTTGAGTTTCATCAAACAGAAGCGCCTACATCGCCCGGCAAACAACACAGCCTGTAGAAGCAGGACGGATAGTCACCCCAAAGTCCATGACATTGCTTCCCATTTCTGCTCCCCCTCAGGCTGCTTTAGACTGAACAAGCCAACATTTTCTCTTCTTTCTTCATAGGTCATGTGTTCAGATTTTTAAGCCCAAGCCTGCTTATCTACACCACAGGAATAGTTTTCTCATGCTCTCTGCCATCCTTAGCCTGATGCAGAGATGCTCGATGTATATGTGACAGGCTTCACTTGGCAAAGCCCATCGTCAAGAGTCATGACCTAAAGACGACCAGATGGTCCAAAGGTACAGATTTTAATTTCAAATTCAACATCTACCCTAGGTTTATTCTGATCCAGACTCACTGGCTACATACACTGAATGAGGCAGACGTCTCAGGTCAATCTGAACAGATAATTTTAAAATATCTTGTAACTGGTTCCTTCATCATCAGTCTCAAAAGGGAGGCTGGCAACAAAATATGGCAGTAACATGAGCTCTTTGAAGCTGAAGACCACATCTGTGCTGCCAGCAACAGCATCAGGGCCTACAAGGAAGCTAGGGGGAGGGACTTTTCACGAGGGCCTGTAGTGACAGGACAAGGGGTAATGGGTTTAAACTGAAAAAGGAGAGGTTTAGATTAGATATCAGGAAGAAGTTCTTCACGAAGAGGGTGTGGAGGCACTGGAACAGGTTGCCCAGAGAAGCTGTGGATGCCCCATCAGAGTCTGTGGATGCCCCATCCCTGGAAGTGTCCAAGGCCAGGCTGGACAAGGCTTGGAGCAACCTTTCCTAGTGGAAGGTGTCCCTGCCCATGGCAGGGGGGTTGGATCTTTAAGGTCCCTTCCAGCCCAAATGACTCCATGATTTGATGATTCTATGATATATTTGACCAAGCTTTAGCTCTGGCATTGGAAGAGTTGTGGGTGTAGTAGCACAGAGCTCAGCAGACATGGCATCACCCCCTCCCCGTGTGGGCTCTGCTCCTCTCTGGAAGCTCCTCAGACATATGCCCTGATGAGCCTATTCTCCTTAGGGCTATTTTTCAGTCTACAGACCCACAAGGCCTGGATTTCAGCTCCCCAGGACACCAGCTTCCTTTTACTCTCAACCTCCCCACTGCCCCCGCACTGGATTAAATTTCACACATTTAATGATGCAAACATCTGGCCCATGGATAAGGCTGCAGGATAACTATTCCACAGCTGTCATTCGTAAAGTGGGATCAACATATGACAAGTTAATCATCGGCTTTTGCCTAATTCAGCCCATTACTTGCAGGTTTATGTCTTCATAGTGTGAAGATGAATCTGATAGTCTGGCAACCTCAGAAGACCCAAAACCACAGCACAAATGAGATGTATACTGGACTTAATGTATTGACTAACCAATGCACTTGACAGTAGCGAGGGTAAGAAAGTCCATCTTTGCTGCTTTTTTCTTATAAACTCGTAAAAATTAAAATTAATTGGATTGTCAGTTTTCTCTCTTTGCTCATCCAACCAGCATTCGCAGTCCCCACCCCAGTTTATCAGGCCTGGATACTCTGCTAATGCAATATAAAGGTTCTCCAAGAATGCAGCACGGAAATCACTTCTGCTCGTTGGCATTTCTGCAGAGAGGAGGAACCAAGAGATCATCTGATCTTGGGTGTGGGTGGTTATAACCTGCAGTCACCAAGGACAAGTATGAACTGGGTTACAGTTCTTGGAAGCAGAGAATTACAGTAAAGCCTTTTGTGTAGCTGCTCCCCAAGTAGCACTTAAAATTCACTCAAATTAGATCAGCTAGAGATCTAATTTCAGAGTTGAAGATGTGAATGTAGCCGAAAAGCACAGGATTTATTTTGTGCTTTTAGAGTGACGTGTATTTAAATGCATCTTCCTTTATAAAACAGATGTATTTAATATCATGGGGAGAAAAATCTACAGCTGATTTAAAGTCACAATCTTTTAAGGTGATGTAAATTGAGAGAAACTAGCAGCGGTGAACTTTTTGGAAAAGTCAAACCCCCAAAGAGAAGCTGCTGTCTGAGCATCTGAGCATTTTAACCAACCAGAACTTGTAATTTTTAACTTGGGTTTTACTCCCAGGAGCATCCTCAACAGATGCATTGAGAACATTTCTGTAACAACGTTCTGCCCCGTGAGTTTAGTTCAGCAAATAATTGGATCAAACCTGGGAGAATGATGGTGGTTGACACAGCAGGAAGGTATGAAAGAGCATGTGAAATGACAAAATCTACCTGTTTTCACTTATCGACACCTTCATGTGTCTAGAACCATCAGCTCAGTCCCTTCATTATCATAACACTTCCTTTGCTTCATCATTTTGAATTTAGAACTGCTTTGGATAAGCTTATTTCCCATCTTATGCATTCATCACATTAAAAGAGTGCTTTAATTAACTAATAAATACAATTCTGTCTAGGTAATTTAACTGAGTGCCTGTTTCTCCCAACTTGACAAAAAAGCACAAGTGTATAAATAATTATATAAAAAAAAATCAATCAT